CCTTTATGTATACTTTTTTATCTTCAATATCATGTTAAGATTTTAAAAAGTGTTAAAACACCATTTTTAAAATTCAATATCCAAGACATGCAATTTTAACATCATTTTTAGAATTTAACATTTATGCAGTTTTCTCTATAACCAGGGCTATATAATCACCTAAGTAATAATTAAAAAAAATGTTATGTGTCTTAATATCAGTATCAGTTGCAGTTCATGGTGTTCCCAAAAATACACTAGACTCTGTGTATTTTTTGATAATAATATTTTTCGGCGTTTAATCCAATTCAAAGTGTAATCCCAAATTAACGTCATGTGGGCAAGTGAAGATTATTAGTGAAGCTTAAGTTATAATGTTGTGCATTTTGCACGATCCAGAGTTCTAGGATATCATTCCATTCCTAAAATTAAATGGGGATCATTTCGGGGTCGATTTGGGGATCATTTCAGGGTTGAGGATCATTTCGGGGTCGGGATCATTTCGGGGGCTGTGCAGATCTGATCAAAGCTATCGTTGAAATTAGAGGGAGTTTATATTAAATCGGAAGGTCACATATCTAAATTGACGTTCGATGAAAATCAGACCATGTATATTTTCTGAGTGCTATCACTTTTTGTTGTAGGAAGTTGGATTAGAATCTATGAAGATATGCGTTAAAGACCTCAGTGGATTAGGATCAAGTCATGATCCCTTAATAGTCAGCTACGCTGTTACTGGAGGTTATTTTTTTTCATTTTAATATATTTGTCTGTATTATCTAAATTCGCATAGCAAACCATTTAATTACATCATCATATATAAACCTTATGGTTCACAACAATAACAGAGCTCTGGCTGGTATGCAAACATGTTGTAACCATACATGATTGTTTTTTTTTTGAATGGTGAGAATAACTAAATAATATAACGACTTGTTTCTTGGTACAGATCTTAATCCTTGCCTTAATGTTCATTGCCCTCGATTTGGAGTCTGTAGGACCTACAGTGCGCATGACGCTCGGTGTGAGTGCGATGACCAATTCCCCTCATATGAAAACCCAGTGTGCACTGCGAACGGAACAACTTACGGCAACCGATGCTGACATAAGTTAAGCTATTGCAAAGGACTTGAGAATAATCTGGTCTATCACCCAGGAAGCTGTGAAGGTAACGAAAAATAATTTCTTGCACCATCTCCCTTGTCCTTCCTGTCAAGGAAAAGTTTGAAGGTTTTGTAAAATTTCATCGGTTTTGACGCAAATCGTCCGCTAGCTCACTCCAATATTTTCTAATCGATCGTTATTCGCCTTTGTTTCGTTGCCTCATTCCTCCATTGCCGTATTAGTTCAAAGTTCTCCGGTGTCCTAATTTGGCTAAATCGTTTCGAAAAACGACACTTTGGTCTGGTAGCTTTTGCCCAGGCTGGTGTCATGTAAGGCACAAATTAATTTTGCCCTCATGTTCATCCTTTTTACTTTTTAAAATAAAGCTTTATTTTCCTCCTCCCCTCGTCTCGGGCTTTGGACTTGTTTCGCACTTCGCGCAAAATGCTGCTTGGCTCATAAGGATCTGGAAATCCGTTAAAATCTTGCCCTGAATCCAAAATCCAGGCAAAAATATTTTCAAGAGGCGGTTCGCCTATTCGCCTATCAAACGCCTGTTGCCCAGGCTAACACGGATATTTCCGCGTAGGCGGCTTTCTTTTGACACGAGAATTTATATCGCTTGTCGCTGCAGTTTCGTAACCAAGATTTGGATGAACGTCTCCACACAATAATAATTAATTCAGTTGCAATGAGGCAGATGAGTTGCGGTGGTGAATGATTTTGCAAGAAGCGACGTGTTTCTTTCGCTTGGGAGTAAAACCAATATTGCTTCTCGAAGCACATGGCATGAAGACAGAGTAGCCCAAAGTTAAGCAAATGCTGTCTGGCAAAAACTCATTAACTTCCCCGACAGAGGTGTCTCTAAGTTTTGTTGAACATTTCGTACTGTTTGGAGACGTGCTGGCACGCAAAACATTAAAAACACAAAAATTTTTGCGAGAGCACCATGATGATCGCTGTACTCGTGTCCTAGCAGTGTCTATCTCGGGCACTGAAACCAGCATGCAAAAATAAGAAGCTACTATAAATTATGTTGTGGAAAGGTATCCGACATGGCAGGTTATAGCTTCGTTTAGTTCCAATTTTGCTGCCCTGGAGTTCTCACACGCTTTTTTAATTTTAGCACCAACTATCACCACGGAGACAATGCTGAAAGATTGCTCTAAAGCAAGCTGGTAAAGCTGCCTTAACGATAATGCTTAATTATTAAAGTAAATGTAAAGTAAATGTAAATGTCGCGATTGAGAGGACAAACATACATGTCCTCTTTACATAGTGACGCTCTTTACATAGTGACGCTTCGATTCCTCATAATGTTCTTAATTTATTATAAAACAGGTTTTCCAATTGTACGGGGCCGTATAGATTTGCTACACGTTCCAAAATGGTCAGATTCAAACTGTTAGACAGTCGCATTTCCTCCATACCGGTTTTATCCGGATAAACAAGTTGATGTTCAAATAACCGTCAACCACATGAAGCTGAATGACTCTGTGACAGTCCACGACGCTGTTACTTCATGGACAGAAAGTATCAACACAAAAAACTTCACCGTCTGTGTCATGCAAACCGGGAGGAAAGAAGAAGGTGCGAATCCATTTGCCACCATTGATTGGGTGGCTTATCAAGGAGCACCAGCCGAAGGATTGACCGGAACGGTTGAGTTGCAGAAATGGTGGTCTGGTACCAACTGCGCAAATGTAACCTTTCCTTCGGTAAGACGGGAATATTTTTGTACGTACAAATTTAACTCATTGTTGCAATAAAAGTATCCTAGGACGAATATCTTAGACTTTCATTCGCCACTACAGCTTTATCCACGTCTTCCAAACGAAGTTAGTCAAACAAACAAAAATTGCTTAATAAATCTAGCTGGATTTTTGAATTCAAAATGAACCTAGCAAAATTTGCCGCCATATGGGTGGAAACGGGCCAAAAAGGAGGTTTTTCTGGTCCCGTAAGTCCGAAAAACACACTAGAAAGGAAAAGGAAAGGAAACATAGAAAGATTCCATTTAAAGTGAGGATAGGCTAATTTGCCTATTAGCAGTGAATTTCATGTCACGTGCAGCAAAATTCAAGGAAGCATTAACACACCTTCACTTGTAGTAAAAAGCTGTTTTGATTGTTCTTATTGCTTCATTGTTATATTTTTCATTTTTTCAGGGCAAGTTTCCTGAGGCGCCAATAGTCCTTGTGACGTCAGAGCACCTGAGGACTGGTAAAGAGTATGATGCTGCACTCATTTGGATTGAAGACTTAACAAAGGACTCACTTAAAATCTGTCTTCGTGAAATGCAAAACTTTGACGGTAGACACCAAGATATCACTGTGGTACGTGATTAGTTTTTAAAGAAACTAGAACGCCACTGTTTACACAATTTGCCAGGAATGCTGGTTTGTAAACTATAATAGCGATATGATTAAAAGCATTGTAACTTCAAGATTATCAGCGAGTGATTGTTTAGTCTAAAGGAGAAGGAAAATGGAAAGTAACAAAAACGGGAAAAAAAATAGACCTGAATTGCTTTGCCTATTCCTCATGCTTCCTTTCATGTTCTTACAAGATGCGCTTGGTGTTCTGGGAAATTGTGGCGTCTTGCGTTCTCTCCTTGGTCACCGCTCCATAGAGCTCAAAATGCTAAGATTTAAGGCCTAAAGAATGCTGGGCTTTGATAAATGTTTGGCGAGGATGATATTACAATATTTACACAGTACGGATGGCTTGGGCTGCTGATCACTTTTGTTGATCTCTTTTCACAGAACTGGCTTGCATTCTCCAAACTGCACAAGCCTCTTTTCACGGAACATGGCGTCATAAGTTTTCCAAATACGAACCCACCTTTGGATAAAATGAACAATGCTTATTGCGAGGTGAGAATAGGATTACTCAATCACGCCTTTTTATCTCATTCATCATCTCAAGTAGCATGCTGTTCACAGCATTCAATTTAGAAAAAAAATTCGTTTACTAACATATTACTGAATATTATAAAACAATTGTAGTCATGTGCAGTAAAGATCGCGGAAAATCTCTTATAAAGCGACGAGAAAAATCAAGATGCTGGCACAGAAAACAATGCTTAAAATATACATAAAAAGTCGGCAGTTCGTCCTGATAAAATGATTAATTTCAATTCAATGTTGACTTAAAAACAAACATCTGAAACAAAAACAACAACAACAACAAAAACAGGAGGTAATTCAAGTTTGTAATGATCAGGAAATAATGTCTCAAGCGTTGTATGTTTCTCTTATATGGCACTTCGTTTCATTCACGAGAGTCTATAACTCGACCCCGACAGTGCTTGTCTCAGCCAATCACAGTACGACGGTATCTGGGAATTCAGGTCCGATTCACAACGGAATTACCACGTGGATCGAGGTGAAAATTCTTTCTCACTTAAAACGTATTATAGTGATGTGTCCTGGTAAACAAATTTCTAACCAAAACTCGACGAAGGATAAAATTAAACAGACTGGCAGACTGAAGGCCATATATAGGTGTAGCTTACTTGTTGTTTCCACATACAGTGTATTGCACACTGCACCTTATCTAGGAAAGGCATGTGATCAAAATAATATTAGATAATGATAGTAACTGCTGTGACTTTGAGTCGTGTACATTTGTATATAGTTTTAGGTTTTAGATCATTAATTTAAAAGTCATGTACAGTGTAATAGATATGATTGTCAGTGTGTAGGAAAGTGTCCCCAATTAGCTAATATTGATAAATACATTCACACTAAAATGTAGTCATTATTATTTTGATCACATGCTTTTCCTGTTATTATTATGATTATTATTATCACTATTATTATTATTATTATTATTATTATTATTATTATAACGTTAACCCATTGACGGCCCTGCGGCCCAAAACTGGCCGTACAAGACTACACTGCTAAAGACCTTGCAACTTTTTCAATCGCGCGAGCATTGCCTTAACTGTCAGCTAGAGCATTGGGTATAATAGAATGCTCTTCAAATTGGGATATCCTGAATAGACCCAAAAAGCGCTTTTTTGCGAAATATTACCTTTTGAATTTGGACAAGAGCAAAGCAAAAATGACCGTTTTAAACGTCATAGATAAACGACAAAAATCCTGTTTTTTGCCTTCAGGATTTTTTTTCAGAAATCATCGTTACAAAATCAAAAGTCACCATTCACAGTAAAATTCAGTCCTTGTTCTAGTTTAGAAGTGACTTTTTTTGTTCTTCTTTGTTTTCTGGAAATATAGCCTTTTGTTCTAGTGCAGCCTGGCCTTGCCTCGATTTTCAACATCACGACTGCAGTGCATGCTAGAAAACAGCTACGATATTTTTTTCATATTTGTACAAAATCTACTGTCGCTCTGACCTACCACGGAAATTTCGCGCTTGTTGCCATTTTCAGTTGTCGCAAATTTTTAAATATATGCCTTGGTAGGTCAAGAAATTCATCAGTAGTCGAGTCCGAAAGCTATATTATTTCTCCAGTACACGAGCAACAAGCAAAATTCGCAAATCAAGTTCATCACCTTACTCACTTCTTTAAGAAAGTGGACTCTTAGCTACCGTCACGCTTAATGATGCTCATCAGGAAGCCACTAAAGGTGAAATATGGTTGTAAAAGTACCAAACATCGCGTAGAATCCAAACTTCAGCGGTTATTATAGCTCATCGAAGCAAAATGACTACGTCAGAATGTCGTTTCCAGAAAACTATAACTGTCACGCGTAACTGTCGAACTGTTTTCCTCAGACAAGGAGCTTTGTCCCACTTTGCATCTCTTTATCCACGCGTCTTATCCAGGGGGAAGTAGCAATACTGTTGGATGCTCTTTCGGGATAGACGGGAATATTTAGCTGTGGTAGTGAGGGCCATGTGTCTCGCCAGCGACGTATAACCTACATTTTTCATAACATATGGAAAATTAAATCGTTCTTACTAAAAACACCCTTGTGGAAAGCGATATACATTTTTTAAATTAGATAACACTTTCAACAGGGGCACCCAACGACTGTTTTCTTTAAATTATATGTTCGTAGAAGCAAATATATTGTCTAGAAGTTTCTTTTGCTTGATGACGACGAGAAATTTCTAGATGACCGTTCCATTCAGGTACAATTTTCGAAGCTTATCTAATAAATGTCCTACGATGTTCTGAAATTTAACTTCTCACATTTTACTCCTCATGTTGGGCTAATTTTCGTAGAAAAAGGAAACCTAAAGTTTTCGGATTCAAAAATGCGATGCGAATTTTGAATGTATTTAGGGGAAAATCGTCGTTGGGTGCCTTCAATCTCTTTTCATTCACTCATTTCGAGGTCCTGAAAAGCGTTAACTATTCACACAGACCATGACCATCGTCAAGTGACGTTACTGAATCTTTTTGCAGTCTTTTGACTTCTTCGATATCAAAAGCAATAATTTTAGACCTATGTAAATAAGTTTAGACCTATGTAAACCCAGTTATTGTGTTATATTTGCAGAACATGAATACCTCTGGATTCAGAGCCTGTGTCAAGGAATTATACGGGACCAGATATGACCCCTTGTCCGTCAGTTATGCTGTGCTCACAGGCCTGTTAATTACTACTAACTGTCTTCATTTATTGAGGATGTCCACCGTATGTTTTGACAAACGAAGCTTACCAGATTAACCTGAAAACAATTCGTCTTTTGATTCACCTGCGTTTTTTTTTTTCTGAAGAACATTTCACCTGCAAGGATACAACACTTTGCTCAAATTTAAAGCATCAGGCATCAAACAAACGTTTAAGAAGTTTGTGTTGCTTGCGAATTCACTTTTACGTAGTGATCTTTCTTCCATCTGGGTGGCACCACTCCAACTGCCCGGAAATGTTTTTATTTGCGATCATTTTCGTATCCGCCTTGCAATAGTACTGCTGCTGAGGTGCCGTTAAGGTTAATATATACCCGTAGGTATTTTTTTTATTTATTTGTATTTTATACAAAAATGGAGTAAGTATGCAAGGAGGCCTAAAGGAAACTGTATCTAGCCTAATGTTAGTTAAGCCTCCTCAATTACTAACAATGTTTCATGATAGATGACATACAAATTACGACGACGGATACAATTATTTATCAAAAGTAAAGTAACAATATAACAAGGAAATTAATAAATGTTGAAAATTATCATCCTTGTCTGACTTTGTAGATATTTGTGATCCTGGCTGGAACTATTTCAAAGGCTTTTGCTATTTCACAAGTAAGACTTGTCAAAATTGGACCATAGCACTGGATAAATGCCGACAAGAAAACTTGGTTCTTGTTGACGTCCAAAACAATGAAGAAAATGTATTTTTACAGCATCTTCACAATGGAGCAAAATCCTGGTTAGGATTGAATGATATTTTTACGGAGGGTTCCTTTACTTGGGCAGATCGTGGTACCGGGAACTTTACAGCTTGGGCCAAAAACCAACCAAACAATTTTCGGGATGAGGACTGTGTGCATACACTTGGTGTTGAATACAAATACGAATGGAATGACGTGAAATGCAGCGACTGTCATCAGTATACTTGTAAGAAAGGTATGGTTTTTAATGTATGTTTAGTTGTAAGGTTTTGGTTTAACAAATAAGACATAATTTATAGATTTAGCCAAGGCCAAAAGAGCCAAGGCTGAAGCGAAGCGTCCTTTTTATATCCTTTTAATTACTTAAAACCAAAAAACTAAAGCAAATAAACTTTAACCTATGCAAAGAAATCTATTAAACATTTATACTTAACTGATTTAAAAATAAAAAGAGAAAATGATTAGTTTTCATTTATGAGAGTCTTTGGCTGCGTCTAGTTCACAGTTTATGTTTCATTAATAGGTCAATCTCTCCGTCTAAAAGGGATTCTACCCGAATAGTAAATTAGGCTAATTTCTCTGTTAAGAATATGTTTTCTTTGCAAAATCGGACCAAGAAACTGCTGCGTGTAAAATACCCTTTTGATTAGATATACTCTTTGTTTCTTCTGGCGAGACTAGGTTTATCCTGAAATGTGACCAAAAGGGTGACCAAGCAAAAAGTAAAGCCTAAGGAATTTATTTCCGAAAATGTTGTTGTAAGCCGAAAACAAAAAACTTCAATCCAGATCTTTACTCGAACAACTCCGTTGGTTGTCCGTAAAATAGTTAATTTTTCGTCGAAAGGAACAGCAACACATATGTCTGAGGCTTCACTCTCTACCCTACCGAGTTTTTTTACCCAACGGGCGTACGCCGACGTCATAACCAAATTTTCTAGCATGGATAGGTTTCCATTTTCTATAGGTATGGGGGTCCGCTGCGAAAAGCTCTCGCGAACGCTCCGTTAAAACAAACAAAAACAATACATATGACGACCTCTGAACAAATAATAGGTATATCTTGTGATACTGCACAGTACAAACATAGATTGAATCAGGTGAGCAAATAGATAAAAGTAGTAACAAAAAAGGAAACGCAATGAGTGATCGCCCCATGTAAAATATAAGGGATTCCGGATTCCGAATCCTGGAAGTTTTTTCTTGTGGGACACTGAATCCAGTAAACGTTTGCAGCAGACTTCGAAAGCCGAGGATTTGGAATCCGTAATATGGCACAAGGAATCCGGAATCCACCGCGTAAAATCCCGGATCCAAGCCCGTATTATATTCCCTTATATGAAAGTAGGTGAGAGTACTGATGGATAAATGATTAAAAGACTATAAGCTTTTGAATAACTCTTCATTTAAGATTTTTGATTCTCTTCCTCTTAGAAAGGGTGTCAATGGGGTGGTAGCTTTGACGGTTGACGTTTAAATTTTAGAGCTTTTGACGGTTACCGTTTATTTAGTGAAAATGTAGTCCAAGAGTTTTATATAATTAGAAAAAACTGTTATTATGTTTTGGAGGCCGTCTTGGCCTTTCTCTTATAAAATTGCGAAATAATTTCAGATACAAGCAAGTTCTAACGCCTTGTAATGTCTAGAAGGAGTGTTTTTAAGAACATGGGAACTGGTTTTCCAGTTTGGAGCTGGATGCTTCAGGAGCCAGAAGTCAGCTGAAATAGAAAAAAAAGCAAGATAAAAATACCTAGCGACGAAAAGTATCAATCTGCCTTTTTGACCGTTGACGGTAAAAAATATCTTTCTTTAACGGTTGACGGTTACAGTTTAGGCCGTTTAACGGCTGACTCTTAACCTCACTGAAACCCTCTTAAAAAGAAACTGGCTGCTGAAATTAATTATATTTTTTCGTATTATATAGATCTGAATGAGTGCAGCAGGGACAAGTATTATTGCCATCGTTTTGCCACCTGTTCAAATAATCGCGGTTCCTTCACTTGCACTTTCTGACCTTCAACAAGGTTTTATCGCGGATGGCTTTGAGTGCAACTTAAATTATGCAGGTTGGTGATCTTGTGTAAGCTTGGTTTAGCCATATGGACGAGCTCAGTCTCGATCTTCTTCCCAACAACGGCTGGATAATTGGTCCTAATGGTCCATACCGGTAATACATGACTCACATTCGCTCTTTATGCAAGTTAGACTCTGAATCACCGTTTTAATTTTTAGGCACTATTGACAAAAAAATGTAGCTTGTAAAGATATAGAATCAGCATTTCAATGTTAAAATGTTTAGAAAGTAAATTTAACTTAATAACAAGGATCTTTACTCAGATTTTGTCTCGTGAAAACAAACAAGAAAAATATGATATTGGTATGTATTTGTGGAACAGAACTAAAATCTTGCAAGTGAGCTTAATGAGTATATTCACTTTCTAAAAAAAAGCGAATAATAAAAATAAAAATAGGCAACATCATATGTCAGATATCAAATGAATGGCAGTTTCATTTGATATTCAGACACTGAGAAATGGGTAGGAATACTTTAGGACATGGACATACTTGTATAGAATTTTAATGTAAAAATTATCTAAATTTTTTCTTGCAAGCCTTACATTTCCAGATTATAGTTTTCTTACATCTCAATAGGACATAAGTCAAGTCTCCTTGTAACTCCAACATCAGTACTGTCTTAGTCCTTTTTTTTTTTTTTATCTCGTAGGAGGATTGACAGACTCCGCTATTGTGGGAAATGATGTTAACTACTTAACTCATTTAAGCTCCGGGCTCAAACCAGTTGCTCGGAGCAAATCTTCACGATGGAAACGCTGTTGGCGGGCGTCCGTAGACGGCTGGGCTGCCAGTACTTTTCACAGCGGATGTGACAACAAAGGACCAACTATAACAATCATAAGAGTCGGCGGGAAATACATATTTGGAGGCTGCACAAGCCTCTCATGGGGTAAGTGGTTTGGTTTTTCTAAAACTGGACATATTAACATGTAAAATTGTCCAAGGAAGTATTTGAAGTAGAAAATGTTATTACCACGAAGAGGACTAAAACGCGCTGTTTCAAACTTTATTGCCTTTGTTCCATTTCGGTCAATTCACCAAATGGAGGTGAATTATTCTGGGTTAAATTCGAAAAGTCTCTACCAAATATTAGAAAAAGAAAATCGTTGTCTTTTGTTCACGTACCCCATAAAACTAAAATTACATCATATTCGTGCTGCGAATTCGCCGATAATTAAATTCTGTGCTGACGTATTTTCTTTTCAGAGTTGTTCCTCGCTAAAGTGTTTTTCAGTCAAAGTATTCGGCACTATTGTCTCAAGTGCCGTTGTAGTATAAAAAAATAATAATAATAATGACTAGAACGCGAGTGTGAATTGATCAAGGCTTAAGTTCCTAAGGCTTCCCTTTTCGGCTCTTAAAACTAAAATGAAAACTGTATGTAAAAAGTGCAAGTTAGATGGGGAAAAATTACCACTTCTAATCAAGTCTTTTCTTGTTATAGTTCACACAAAAAAAATAAACTGAGAGAACATTTTGATCAAAGCTACGTATACTGATATCAACCTGAATAATAGCATGGAATCTTGCGTTTTCCGTTTCTATCTCACCTATTGTATGAAGCACACTTAATTCTATTTTACCGCACAGTCAGTCCAGTCGATGCCCAAGCACTACCACGATTTTAAACGTCCTTTTTTTTTCTCACTATTTTATGTTTTAAATGCTGTAGCCAATTATTTATAGGTGATTAATGTAAATTGATTTCACTTTATTGTAGTTGTATATTGTAAGTAACAAATGTTATTTATATTTTTCATTTTAGTTCTACATCGTAATCATTTTTACACGGCCCCACAAGAATTGAGCTTTAAGCCTTTAGTGTTGATTAGCAGAAATAAGAAGAAATGATAATGATAATGATGATGTTGATGATGGTGATAATGATTATGGCTTATGAATGAAAATCATCAGATATGAATAGGTGTATCTAAAAAAGCTACACAAAGACCGAGGATTCGATTAACTATGTGCAACAAAATACATAACGGGGCCTTCTCTTGTGTCAACTTTTACAAGACAGTGTTTATCTCTTTTTTCACGCATTCAAGTTTCTCTTGCACAATTATTTCGTGTACTTTGTCGCCAAAAAGGAACACCGTACCTTAGCGTATATAAGCTAGCTGGACCACGACCAAGGCGGCAGGGGAAGTTCGGAAGTTAATTTGCAAGTACAGTGGAACCTCGGCATAACGAAGGACTAACTCGGAGACCGGCAAAATTTGTTGGCTGTATAACGAGGTTTCGTTTTATCGAGATTCTTTTCTATATATTTTACAATAACTGCCGGGAAAAGAAAATCGCTAGAAATACGTCATATAGAGGTTCGTTACTTCGAGGTTCAGCTCGCCTGTAGTAAACAACAACTAAACAATTCAAGCCTTTATATCGGGGTGCCGACAACTTGATATCGAATCTGCAAGTTATCGCCCTGTTTAATTTTTTTTCTTTTTTTTTGCGTTTAGCTTTTCAAATAAGTACCAGTTTCTTCCTTCCAAAAGTAAATTCTTAAGTAAGAATAAACTTGGTTTTGAAAACACACTTTTCATGAGACTGAAATCTTTGCTACTTAAAAGAGAGTTAATTATTAGTAGTATCAGATATTTTATTTCTTGTCTGTAAGAATTCGAATTGTTGAACGAAGTCTGTACATCGGATTATCCTTTTCTTTTTATTATTTCTCCAGGAGGTTACAGCGGCCACTATCGAACTGATTCCCAGGCATTCCTTTTCTCGCTGGTTAACAAGCCAGGATGGGCACCTGTGAAACTGCCTCAGACCATGGGGCGGTATAGTTCTTACGGACATTCCATATACGAGTGCTCGTCTTGTGGACCTACTTTCGGTGGAGGCCATGACATTTACATTGCCAACTATGCGTCATCTAACAGCAATTCAGCCGCTTACCTTGGTTATGCTTATAGCCCACCAAGTGGGTACAACTATGGAGGCACTTTCACCTACACATTTCTGGCAGGAGGGAGTAGTTATAATTTTACACCAGACGAAGTAGAAACATTTTACGAAACAACCTAA